GATATAGGGAGATACCAACGCCTGGTTGGTAGATTGATCTATTTGTCTCTCACACGGCCTGACATTGCACTTGCTGTGAGTGTAGTAAGCCAGTACATGCATTCACCTACTCAGAGACATCTAGAGGTTGTGAACCATATCTTGAGATATCTCAAAGGAACTCGAGGAAGAGGATTGATGTTTCTGAAAAGTGAAAACAGAAATATTGAAGGATATGCTGATGCGGACTCGGCTAGAAGTGAAGATTGTAAGTCAACTTCAGGATACTGCACCAAGCTGTGGGGTAATTTGGTTACATAGAAAAGTAAGAAATGGACTGTTGTGGCAAGGAGTAGTGCTGAGGCAGAATTTCGGGCAATTGCACAGGGAATTTGTGAGGTTATATGGCTGGAAAGGTTAATGCAGGATTTACAAATCACAGTTTGCTCTCCCACTAAGGTATATAGTGACAGAAAATCTGCAATTAGCATTGTAAACAATCCAGTCCAACATGATTGGATGAAACATGTCAGAATTGATCAAAGCTTTATCAAGAGTGAAATCAAAGAAAGAGGTATTGAATTGTGCTATGTCTCAACCCATGCACAAGAAGCGGATATCCTGACCAAGAGTCTACTGAAGCCAAGTCATGAAAGTTTTCTCTGCAAGCTTGGAATGAGAAATATCTATTCCTAAGCTTGAGGGGGAGTGTTGGAGATTTAGTCCATTAATTGTAAATGTCCATTAATTGTAAATATTTGATTGTATTTTTCCTTTTATTGTTTGATTTAGTCAAAATAGGAAAGTATAAATCAGGAAGATATTATAGAATTGTCTAGCATAATTTAGGGATTCTTTTTCCTTAGTTTTCTCCCTTAATTGCCGTGACCTATGGCTCTCTAAGTGTATATATATCTGACAAAGATAATGAGAATAGTAAGCAAGAATTATTCTTCTCTTTGCATTCTTGTTTCAATTAGGTCACAATCAGTTAGAGGAAAAATAAGAAACTAACTCCTAATTTACAGCTAGCTACAAATCAGCAACTAACCTACCATACAGAGATTACAAATATTTCTGAAAATGGACTTTCCTAACCAGTAGGAAATAACACGCTTTTCAACAAATAGTTTCAATCCTCACTTCAGAACCTCAAATGGTCTCACACCAAGGGTATTCGGATGCACTGCCTTTGTCCATGTCCACAGCCAACATAGAGGTAAGCTAGATCCCCGAGCCACTAAATGTGTCTTCCTTGGTTACTCATCCACTCAAAAGGGGTACAAGTGTTACAACCCTTCATCTAGAAAATTCCACATCTCTGCCGATGTCACCTTCACAGAAAATAAACCTTTTTTCTCTACGTCCTTTCTTCAGGGGGAGATTCCAATAATGGAAGATAGTCCTTGTGAGTCATTTGAACCCCTAAACACTCTTGATCTTCCTCAAGTTTCAGCTCGTGTTGTTGAACCAGAGTCCTCTGAGCCAACCACTTCTGAGTCACCCATTCTGCCACTGAACTTGTGTCACCTCTTGTCCCAGCCAGTGTCACTCACAATTTTTCAAGGTTCTCTCAAGTGTATTCAAGGAGAAAGGCTACTCTAGAACTGCCACAAGTCCAAGAATCCAACTCAAGCTCTGGGAGTGAGATCACGGTTAGATCTAATCCGCCCTTACACACACAACTGGTTGAAACATCCACTGATCCAACATATGACCTCGACCTTCCTATTGCTATCAAAAAAGGTCCCCGAGAGTGTACTAAACATCCAATCTATCCACTATCTCACTATGTCTCTCTTAAGCACCTGTCATCAGCCCAAAAAAAGTTCATTGTGAGTTTAAACACCATTGCTATCCCTAATACTATTTTTGAGGCATTGTCAAAAAAGGGAATGGAGGGAGGCTATGAGAGAGGAGATGAGTGCATTAGAAAAGAATAGAACATGGGAGATTGTTGATAAACCAAGAGGGAAAAATGTTGTTGATTGCAAGTGGATTTTCACACTAAAATACAAGGCTGATGGATCCCTGAAAAGATATAAAGCAAGATTGGTGGCCAAGGGATACACTCAAGCTTATGGAGTTGATTATCATGAGACTTTTGCTCTAGTCGCAAAAATGAATACTGTGAGAATTCTGCTATCATTGGCGGCTCATTTCAATTGGCAGCTACTACAGTATGATGTTAAGAATGCATTTCTTCATGATGACTTAGATGAAAAAATCTACATGAATATTCGACTAGGATTTGAAGGGGACACGAGTAACAAAGTGTGCAAGCTAAGAAAGGCCCTTTATGGGTTAAAACAATCCCCTAGAGCATGGTTTGGGAGATTTACAAGAGTGATGAAGGAGTCTAGTTATGAACAAAGTCAAGGTGACCACACTCTCTTCATTAAGCATTCGGATGCTGGGGGAGTAACTGCTCTTCTAGTCTATGTGGACGACATCATAGTGACTGGAAATGATGAAAGAAAGAAGCATGAAATGAAACAAAGATTAGTAAGAGAGTTCGAGATAAAAAAGCTGGGGAAACTGAAGTACTTCCTCGGTATTGAGGTGACATATTCCACACAAGGGATCTTCATATCTCAACAAAAGTACGTGACTGATCCATTAGTAGAAACAGGGAAGATTGGGTGTAAACTAGTCTCTACTCCAATGGATGCGAACCATAAGTTGGGAGAAGCTAAAGAAGAACCAGTTCTTGATAAAAGAATGTACCGGAGGTTAGTTGGTAGATTCATATACCTTGCTCACACTCGGCCAGACATAGCATACTCTGTGAGCGTGATCAGTCAATTCATGCATGACCCAAGAGAACCTCATCTTCAAGCTGCTTATAGGGTACTACATTACTTGAAAGGTAATCCAGGGAAAGGAATTTTGTTCAAAAGGAACAATACCCTTACTCTAGAAGCTTACACTGACGCTGACTATGTAGGTTCCTTGGTGGATAGAAGATCAACTACAGGGTATTGTACTTTTCTTGGAGGCAATCTGGTAACATGGCGAAGTAAGAAGCAGAACGTGGTGGCAAGGTCATCTGCAGAATCATAATTCAGGGCCATTGCTCAAGGATTGTGTGAACTACTTTGGCTAAAGATTATTCTAGATGATCTGAGAGTCAAATAGGAAGGTCCTATGAAGCTTTATTGTGACAACAAGTCAGCCATCAATATTGCTCATAATCCTATACGACATGATAGGACAAAGCATATTGAAATTGATCGACATTTTATCAAAGAAAAATTAGAGGAAGGATTAGTGTGTATGTCCTATGTTCCATCAGGACGATAATTAGCTGATGTTCTAACAAAGGGGCTGAACAGTTCGAGTTTCCATGATCTTGTATTCAAGCTAGGAATGGAAGATATCTATTCCTTAGCTTGAGGGGGTGTGTTGACGTGTAAATGAGCTGTAAGTAGATTAGGAGAATCAATTAGAAATCCCTTGATTTAAGGGATTCAGATTAGGCAGTTTCCTAATTTAGGAATGATTTAGTTTCCTATTCTTTCTCTTGTAATTTGCTATATAATATCGTGTAATATGTCTATTCATAATAACAGAAAATCAGAGTTATTTTCTGTGACAGTTAGCTATCCCACTCCTCATTGGTTATGCGCGCTATGGTACAACAGGATAGGGCCCATAAGAAGTAAAAGACAAGAAATTGAAAAACAAAAACCGTTCTATATAAAGGTGCGGTATCTATAAAGAAGAATGAGAAACACAATATCAAAGTTGTTCAGAATGTGAAAATACAATGTGAACGACTAAAGTGTGACGAAAGCTGAACAAAGTATGTAATGAAAGAAGAAGAACATAAGCAATACATGTTCTAGTAGTACAAAGTGTCTTAGGATATATGACATGAATGCATATATGGGTATGCGTAATTATTGCATCTATTACGACCTACTGTTACTTGTTGAGCGAAAGCTCATTAAATTTGTTCGTGTTGTAGGAAGCACAGGTAAGGCACCGGCTCCTTCAAACTTGTTGTTGGGCATGCAGAGAGGATGTATCAACAGAGTGTGGGCAAGTGGGTAGTGGATGCATCATGTGTTTTGGAAACGCTGCTGAGCTTTATGTGTATAAAGTAAATAGTGTTTTATGAATATAGATGAGTTATGTAACGAAAGTTGAGTTTACGAGACAGTGAGACTATGCATAGCAATCTCTAGTTACAAGGTATGATTAATGTATCTAAATGCTATAACATTAACGTAATGCATAGCAAAATGCTACAACATTAACGAAATGCTACCAAAATGCTACAGCATTAAGACATATGAATGGTTGATAAAATTAGCCTGAATTTTAAGAAGTTATAATTAGAAAGTAGTAGATGATGAGTAATGCTAAGTATAAACGTAGAATGATAATTAAAAGTTAGAGTCGTCACAAATATTTATTAATTGTATTCAAGATACCGCCTTATGATACACAAGAGATAGAACGGTCGACCACGGAAGAGGAAAACAAAGAGAAGCAACCACCAAAGTCCGGGTAAAACATCAATTTTCCCTGACAAAGTTGTCTGATAATACGAGTATTTATTTCATTATCTAAATTTGCAAAACGAGCTTCATGTATCAACTCTCTGCTGAGAGTATTGTTCTCAAGGATCAATATGCGGTTTTCCCTGCTTCTTTTATTGATTTGAGGAGCCATCTGGGTGATCTCCATTTGTTTGCTGTCTTGTTTCGCTTTATTTTTAATGTTTCTGCGTCTAGTACAAAAACTTGCATTTTTTTAGCTAGTTCCATGTTGTTGACGGGGAATTGGTTTTCTTTAATTGTTTGCATTTTTGAGCTCATTTTTCCTAGGCGGTGGTGCTTTTGATGTAAACAGGAATTGTTGGCTTGTTATTTTGTTGCAACTATAAATTAGCCTGGCTTATGTAGCCCTTTGTACATTAATTTATGAGATTACTGGAATAGTGGTTCACATGTTGACAGTTGGGGGGGTTTATTGTTAATATTAAGCTGAAATAACCTTTGTTTTCTGAATAGTGACGACAATGATGATGATGAGGATGAGGACGACGCAGAATCTCAGATGGCTGTGCCTGAACAGATGAGGATTGGAATAGCAGTGGAAGAGGCACGAAAGGTAAGATTCACACTTGGAATTCTTAAGATATTCTCGTTGGGCTTTGACAAATCTATGAAATAGAAATTTTCCTTCACTCTTGCATTATCTGGTTTCCCTGAATTCACCGTGTATGAGACTTAGTTGATGAATGTTGTGCCTTCAACAAAGTTAGTCTGCCTTCTACCTCCTAAGTGTTTATCTACAAGAGGCCAGTATTTTATCATTACAATAACAATGATTTTTGGCTTCATTTGCGTTAACACTTGATTTATGCATCCGTGCAGCAAGGACAAGAACCGCAAGAAGCAGTGGATATGATGGAAAAACGGTTAGAGTTCGTTCAAAAGCTATTTGCCGATCAGTTTCTTTACCAACCTTTGTAGATTCCTTTTATTTGTCTGTCTGTCGTAATTCTGTCATTTTGCTTTTCTTCTCTTGGCTCAGACTGGGTGATGATGAGGTACCCGGAAAACAATGGAGTGGCGCTGCTAAAAGGAGAGTTCTCCATGGGAAGAAGGTTAGAGTTCGTTAAAAAGCCATTTGCCGATCAGTTTCTAAACCAAACTTTGTTTTTTTTCCTTTTATTTGTCTGTCTGTCGTAATTCCGCCATTTTGCTTTTCTTCTCTTGGCTCAGACGGGGTGATGATGTGGTATTCGGAAAACATGGGAGGGGCGCTGCAGCCCGGACTATGTGCAGTAAGCTCCGGCAGAATGACTTTTATAGGAGGTTCCCGTTGAAATACAGGAAGTAGATGTAGAGAAGTGAAATGGTTCTTATTTCTTAACTGTTCTATGTACCAAAATTAGAAATTGACCATTTACTGGACCTGAGTTTTGGTTGTGCTGAGAACAAATCAGTTTGCCAAAGATTTAAGTGTTAAATGATATTCCTTGTATAAGTTTGCATACATTGTCCTTTTATTTTAGTAATTGATGATAAGATTGGGGTACCTTTTACTCCCTTTTATTAACATCTATAAAAAAGAAATAAAAAATAAGAAAATAACTCACATGTAATATGATTCTTTGATGCCCATAACTGTTCATGAATGTTTTTCTTTTAAAAAGTCACCAAATTGGTCCCACATTGACGCGGGAGCTACTGTTTTGTTCTGTTTTGTTTTGTTTTAACTCTACGTCGTTTGGCCATGTTTACCCAATTGTTCGTTGTTTTGGCGTTCACTGTCTAGTGATGTCGTTTAGCTTATGTTATGTGTCGTTGGGGTCGGGGTTTGGTTTAGTATATGTTATGTTTCGTTGGGTGGTTGTGCTGATTTTAGCCCTTGTTGTCGTTTACAGAACTCAGACCTCAACATTGTATTTTGGCTGTTAGTTGTTGAACTATGAGTATGGTAACTTTTTGGTTTTTGAACCTTTAATTTCGGTAAATTATTTCTTTATATTATTTTTAGACGATTACTTCTTGTTTTTCTTTGTTTTTTGTTAGAGCACTTCTAAGGAACTCTATAAATTTTAGTTAAATTTTAGTTAAAATAGTTAGAAAGCTATTTTAATTAGTAATTTTTTAGTAAGTTACTCTAACCATACTTTTTACTTTAGCTAAATATAAATTATTTTAATATTTTTTGAGTTTTAAATGTAAATAACTTTTTTTTAACCTTTACTTTATATCAAATCAAAGAATAAAATAACAAAAGAATAAATAGTTAACTACTTCTTGTTAGATAATTTGGCTAGTGAAAAATGCTTTAGTCAAAATAGTTAACCATTTAGCTAATAGTTAGAGTATTGGAGAAAACGTTGGAGCGGAGAAAAGTAAGAAAAAAAAAAAAAAAGCTAAATCATTAACAATTTTGTCTAGAAGCATGACATGGCTAATAGTTGGAGTTGCTCTTCGTCCTTTGTTTTTGTTTTCTCATTTGTTGCAAGAAATAATTTTTGTGCTTTTTTAATGATGCACTATAATCATCTATTTTTACTATTATTCCTCAACTGAAAAGAAAAGATATACGATTATTGAAATTCATTAATATTCGTACGCATCCAAATTTTCAATTTCATTTATCAACAAGACGAATAAATTGCAAGTCTCTCATTACAACATGTCATTAGGGGATCCAACTGTTAAAAAACTTCTAGCACAAAGAGGGGTGAATTTTCAAAATGAAAATTCAAATGTCACACGTTAGAAAGTTTGGGCAGCCTATGGCACAAATTCCTTAAAAAGAAAACTTTTAAAGTATGAAAAAAAAAAGAAATAAATACCTCTTAAAATATATGAGTCTAAATTTTTATCTCTTACATTTAACTAATACCTTTTAATTAAAGAATTATATTAGTTGAAATGGTATTAATTAAGAGTAAACCAATACGTTCAAACAGTAAGACTGAGAGTTTTTTTTTTTTTTTTTTTTGGGGCTAATCGTTCACTAATATAAGAAGGTTCTTTTCATTTGGTTGAATGGGATAAAAAAAAGAGTCAAACTTGTCCGCTACATTTTAGATTGTCTTTTGCTTTTTTGGTTTTCTTTTTTCTTTAATATTTAATGTGACTTTCCACAATATTTTAGGTTGACAAAAGAACGGGGAAGACCATAGGGCAATGTCACTTTCCACAATATTTCTAGAAAAAAAGTCACTTCCACGAAGTTACCCAAAAAAAAAAAAAAAAACTTCTCCCTCGAATATATGTTTATTTGTCATCTAACAGTAATAAATTTCCATTACTCATATAAAATGAGTCTTATTAGGACAGGCAGATTACAAAAAAAAAAAAAAAAAAAAATTTGTAATATATAAAAAAAGGGGTTTCACACCACACCCACACCAATGGTTCCCACCTAATAAAATATACTATCTGAGTAGTCAAAAAGACAGAAGCATTTTACAATAATTGGTGACGGGTGCGAAGAAAATTCTTTTCTATGAAAATAAAAAAACAAAGCTTTTTCTAACGGGGTGCAGTGGCAAAAAGACAGAAGCCAGAAGCATTTTACAATAATTGGTGTACTTTATAGTTTACTGTCATTCCTCTGGTCTCAGCCTCATTCCTCTGGTCTCAGCCCCAACAGCCACAAAGAACCAGATCTTCCTTTCTTCCCTATTTTCTCATTTGTCATCCAAGTACCGTTGACCTTGCAAGTGCGCCCACAGGTATTTCATTTTCATTGTTTCATTTTCATTTTCATTTTCATTTTCATTTTCTTCGTTTTCTGCTCCTAATTTGAGTTGTTGATGCTTTCATTACATTAGTGTTTGACCTCCTTCTTTTGTTTGAAAATCTCTTGTTTTTGATCACTTGGTTACTATAGTGGAACTTGGAATTATTATTATTATTGTTTTTGAAAAAAAAAATCTTTGCTTGCACATCATTGTCATGGTTATGGAGACATGCCAGTGTTGATCTTTTGATTTGATCTTAATTGGGTTCTTTCATATTTCGACGATTGAGTGATAAAGTTTATTTGTTCTTTAATTATTCTTATCAGCTAGCCGATCTTGGTGATTGATCATGGACATTCATAGCTCTAGGAAATTGGGATTGAGATAATTAAATGATTTTTAAATTTCAGTCTTTGAGATATAATTAAATGATATTTGGGACATTTTTGTATTTCATTATTTTTTTGGGTTATTTAGGATTTTTTTTTTTTTTGGGGGATTAAGTTCAGTTCATATTTGCCAATCCAATATTAATTGAGGTTTTTTAATTGGTTGGTACTATAGGAAATATTGGTGATGGTCTAAGCTTTGGTAAAACTTTTGTTACTACTGGCTCCAACAAATTTGTTCTATTCAGGAGATAAATAGAATTATGATTACTATAAAAAGAAATATCATTTTGCAGAACGTTGCGAGTCTGAACTGCTTTTAGAGATAGCTGGGGTATCATATATGGCCTTATAATATGTATCAGACATTGTTTCAAATGACTTTCGGTCGATTTATTTAACAGCCAAGTTCCATTTGGGCGGCGCTATTAAT